TACCAAAATATGCAAGGAGATTTATCTATAAAAGAATGGGATATTATCATAGTGCAAGTTGAGAGTCTGTTTCGTATCGAATTCTCAGCCCGTCCATTTGTGGCTATTCTCAATGAGGTCAATGCCATTATGCGTCAAATGTCTAGCGATACAAATGCACAGGAATCTGAAAACGCAATGCGTGATGTCTTAAGATCTGCGAGACATGTTTTGGCCATGGATGCCTTTGCAAATAAATCAACATTAGCATTCCTTAAGATATATCGTAGTGAAGATATTCGTATAATTGATAATAGATACCAGCCTCGTATAGGTGAGACGGTTGAATTTATTTATGATCCGAATAGTGGAGCAGAAGCCATGTGAATAGGATATGATCTTTTGAGGCAAGGCAAGCGTATGGCATTTATATCTACTGGAGCGGTGATGGCTAGAGCGTTAGTAAAAAAAGCATCTAAGTTGTTTAAGCCTGATAATTTACCTGTTAGAGCCCGTGCATATTATGAAAATATAGATGGAAAATAGAGACAAAAAGACTTTTCTGATATTAATATTGCTTGGAGTGAGCTTGACTGTATAGCTTATATAAATACAGTGAAGGCGGGAATATCATTCGAGATTATAGGTCACTTCGATATAGTTATAGCTATTACAAACATCGTCACTCCAGTTCATGTCGAAGCTCTTGCATAAATGCTTTACTGAATTCGTGATTGTCCTTGCCGTATTGTTTCTATATTTTATCAGAAAAATTTTAACGAACTTTTTCGTCCACCAGGTCATGAAAATATTCAGGCAGAACTTGCTAGTGCTCGGCCTAATAACTTACCTACAGCAATAAAAGGTCATCGTAAATGGGATAACAATACCATTTCTTATAAAATTGATGAATCTTCAGCTGTAACAACATTTATTGAAGTTGAGCATCAGAAACGAATTTCTGCAAGATATTTTATTGAGAAGCTTTGTAGTCTTATAGCTAGTACTGGTGCTTCTCTCCAACTAATAAAAATGGATGAGAGCCGAGGAGTTATAGGGAATCGTAAAAAAGTTCGCAATGAGGTTAGGGTTGAAGCACTAGTTATCAAGAAAACAGATTTTGATGCGATTGCTACTTCTCGGAATCTTGATCCTGAAGAAGCTGAACATCTTAAATTTGACCAAGAGCATTCTATCCTAGATACTATGGCACTTAAACGTTTCTATATGCAAAATCTTTATGGTAAAGATATAGACAATAAGATTTGGGATAATCTTTGCAATAAAAAGTTTGTAAAACATTTCAGTCTGCCCGAACCTCGGAAACATTTCTTGCAGTTATCTCACTTTAGAAAGCAAGGCTATGATGAGGAAAGTGCAATGAAAGGGTTAGAGGCTAAAGATATTGCGCAATGGGAAGATAGCCATTATAAAGCTGGATATAATTCTGAGAAATCAGTAGCAGAGGACTTGCACAAATCATATTCAGCTAATCATTAGAAAGTTATAAGGGAACTCTTTCAAATACTAGGCTTTACCGGTATAGATGATAAGCGTATTCTTTTGGGCAATGTTATTTTAGAAGCGTTTACGCAATCCTATGAAAGATTTATGGAAATCCAAAATCAATCCTTATTGCTTTTTGGATTTAAATCTCGTGCAAAAGAAAAGCCTGATCTTGTATCGGCCATAAAAATAATCAATGCAATCACTGATAATTGGTGTGGCTATATAGTTAAAAGTAGTCGGAAAAAAATAGGTCTCAAGGAACAGCAAGTTTGGGAATATTCATACAAAATTAATCGCCAGCCATATGGTGGTCTTGGTTTTGGAGATAAAGGCGTACCAGAACTTCCACCATATAGGCTAAAAACAGATAACGATATTCAGGAATTCTTCGATTTTATAGGACAGGAAAAATAATATTTCAGCTCAGATCATTCATTATTCAGATAAGTATCTTGACTACATCAGTTTACTTTGTAAACTCCCGCTGATTCTGTTTCAGTTTTTTTACTTTCACGCCAGGCATGGTCATAAATTCCACCATATGTGCTACAGATTCCGGTCTTCAAATAGGTTCGCTCATTACAGATAGAGCATATTGTTTTAGGACGGGCTTTAAAATGTCTGGAGCATCCTAAAGCACTCATGCACCCTTTCCCACAAATTGTACCATCTTTCTTAATATATTAGCAGATAAAACGGCCCATATGAGGTAATTTTAATATTAATATTCTTAAAACTTCGCTTTCACTTTTATTATAGGTATTCAAAAATGTGTCACATACCTTTCACGTTCAATATTGGCCAAAGCTAGTCCCTTTAGGACTGCATGAGTTATATTATTATTTTTTTCTTCCTTAAACTCTCTGCTATATGATATCCTGAAATCTATGATTGAGGAAATTTTTCGAATTGAATTTTTTCTCACATAATATAACTAGATAATAGTTAGTATTGATATGGTTACTAAAGCAACCACTCCAAAGACTCGAAAACCCAAAACTAATAACTATACTGCCGTCTTAGAGCAGTTCCTAGAAAAGCATAATTTGTCAGCTGACTCCACCCCAGAACAATTAAGCAAACATGCTCCTGAACTTGATGCTTTGCTTTTTGATGATTGGATGACCCGCAGGTGTGTTAAAGTTATCTTTGCTAACAGTACTAATAATAGACGTTCATTTAGTAAAGAGAAGATAGACGCTTTCATGCCAGATAAAAGAAAGAAAAACCTCACCATAGAGGGAAGGGCAGAATACTGTGCTAAGGCTGGTGATTTTGTAGATATTATCGCCAATCATTGGGCAGTGGGTCCGAAAAATAAAGATGAAAAGGAGATCATTGCCGGTATCTCGCGTCAGTCAACATTCCATGTAAAGTTAGCAGAAGGTAGTGTAGATCCTGCAATTATTGAAGAATTTGCCAAAGATAAAGATCTTATTCAAGATTCTAATAAAATTCAGAAAGAACGAACTAAAAAGCAAATGGCTAATCCAGACAGAATTCCCATACACTTCTCCTTAGCAAATGTGAGTAAAAGGCTTCAAAACATTGATACTTCCAAAATTCCTACTAAAGAAGATCTTGCAGATGTAATAGTGATGTTGAGTATGAGACTAGGAGAAGTAAGATCTCTTCAAATTAATCATTATGAACTGGATCCTTCGAACATTCCAGCGTGATATAAAGAAGGCTATTCTTGATACTATACAGGCTATTTAAAGAACAAAGGAGAAAAGAAGAAGAATCCTGAGCCCTGACCTTTTCTTTTTATGGAGAAGAATTCAGAACGTGCTAGGGAATTACTCACCTGGATTTGAGATGCAATTAAGGCTAAAAAGTTACGTGATCCCGTCTTTACTAAAAGTGGAACATGTAATACTTGGCTATTTAACGAATTCTTGAAGCAAGAACCTTATAGAACTATATCTAAAAAATTAAGAGATTATGGAAGTAAAAACGCTTCCAGAATTTATGGTGGTAAGAATCCAACTCCCCAGCATCTTAAACTGCTTTCGAGAATCGCATTAAGGCAAGAATCTGACCGTCTTGATGCGGGTGATAATTATGCTATAGGTGATACTGAGTCAGAAGACGATGGTCCTGAATCTGACCATAAATCTGATCATGAATCTGAATCTGTTCCTGAGGC